TCAAATACAGTTCAGAGTCTTCAAGGTTGAATAATACTTATAACAACCCTACATAAACTCCAATGGCTCCCATCTTCCTTCCATCTTCATCCATGAGTTGACTGTTGACTCTCCAATAGCAGTCTTTTGCCAGAATTCAAATTCAACTTTAGGTGGCAGCTACTCTTCTTCCCATGGAACAACTAACAAGTCTGAATTGTCTTGTCTTGTCTCTTCTAGCTTTGCAATAAATATTTAATGTTATTGGAATGAGACTAATTAAGTCGACTAGATAGATATACATGCACATCATATTATATTAATTCAACTTCTTTGTGTTCAATTGTGAAATCCAAAGTTGTTATTTCTCAAACTTAATGTAAACTATACTTTTTTTTTTTACACAAAGGCGATAGTGTTTTATTAATGAGGAGGAAATAAACAAGTATAAAATAACCGGATTATGTTTTAAAGGATTAGGCGATTATTCTAAACTATATATAAATCAAATCATATCGTGTAATGTTTTTTTCATAGGTTTGTACGTTAAGTACCTTTTGTGCTAAGTCCATTTTTGTATTATGTTTCAACTAGCAGCATTTTTTTATCATCAAAAGGAGGAAAAGCAAAACACTTATGTCACCTTATAAATTGATTATGCATATCATTAACATGTTGTGTGTAAGCAAAAGTAAATCTAGTCAAGTTGATCCCTTCATATATTTATTTATTTATTTATTATGACTAGAACCTTTTCATGGCTTATGATAGTTGCTGTGGAACTTCCATAAATACAAAATTATATTCACCATTATTGTCCCATCTATAAGGACTCGACGGTGAAAATTCGTTTGTGCATCATTTATGCAGACAAATTTGTACATAAAGCTTTCTTCTTTCTCAGGGCCAGTTTGGCATTGCTGTGCTGTGAAAATAATCGTTGTTAGATTTGCTGTGAGAGAAATCAGCTGTGAGGGAAAACAGTTTGGCGTTTGGTAAACTTTTTGTTAAAAGTATTGTTAGTATTGATTTCTTCATAATCAGAAAATAATTATGGCATAATCATTAAACCCAGAGCCTCTTCAAAACTGATTCCTGCATAATCAGAAAATGAAAGCACCTCATTAGCTGCTTTCCCTTCTAGCTTTCTCTCACAGCAATTTTTAATAATAAGTGATTTTCTCACAGTTTACCAAACAGACTGGACTTTCCAAAATTTAAAAAAAATCACTTATCATCTCAAATAAGCAATGTCAAACGGGCACTAAATAAACATCTAATCACATGAACTAGTAGTTAACAATTAATTATGGGGGCCCACTGATGGCATGCCATTTATAAGAAACACTTCAATGCTGGAGAGACTTGTATATGATGACATTCATATTTGGCGACGCTAAATATTGTGCCGTTTTAAACTTGCCCGTTTACTTTGTCTGTAAATGATATTTTACAATTAAGAAGCTCCTAATTTCATCGAGGATGCGTTGTTAAAAAAGGAACATGCGTTGTAATGTATATCCTTCTTTCCATTTCCTAAGATAAAAAGGAAAAAACAAAGTAAATTTTTTGGCAAGTGTGATCAATGTGCATACAATTTTCCAAGTCAAGATAATAGACCAGGTCAAAAGAGGAGACACCAAGACTTGATTTCCAAGTAAATTCCACCGAGCTGGAGCCTTCTATACGCGGCTAGTACAGACTACGGAGCAACAAGGAAAGGCCCCTCTTCCTCTCGAACTTTCTATCTCCTTCCCCTCAAACCCTATATATTTCAATTTTCTGTACAAGTCCCTCATATCAAATACCTTCTCTCTATTTTCTCTCTAAAGTCTACAACTTTTTCAATTTCAAGAATTGGGTTTTCAAGTTTTGGTTCATCTGAGCAGTAAAACACAGAACTTGTACAAGCAGCCATGAATTCCATGTTCAGTTCGTTTGATGCTTTCTTCTACGCTGAGTTTTTGGGCCAAATGGTGAAGGCCTCCTTCCCTGCACAGCAGCAGCAGAGGAGTACTGGGACTGTGCTGAACAACAAGGCATCAGTTGCAGATAATTTGAATGGTGCAAAGCAAGAGGGCAACAGGGAGGCCTCCATCTCCATGCCTCAACAAGCTCAGCCTGTGAAGAAGAAGCAGAGCCAGAAGGCACTGCCACGGTTCGCGCTGGAGTTGGATGGGCTCAACTGCTTTGAGACCGTCGTCTATCATTAACAACTACAACAACCGCTGGAATTTTAATATCAGATATTCAGATTGTTACACAGAAAAAAAAAAAAAAAAAAAATTGTTGTAAACGTTGATATAGGATATATTACAATACAATTCTTTCACCTATTTTTTCCCCCACATTTTGGATCCATATTGATTGGATTTTTTTTAATTGCTGAAATTAAATTTTGAGTTGTTTCCCATTTCATAAATCAGGAATTGAAAACTGGGTTTTGGTTATAAATTGTGCAGCTTTGGCTTGCAGCCATTAAAGCAATTTTAACCTTAAAAACACTAAACCCAGAGGAGGAGGGAACAGAGTGTGAGCTCTAGCCTCTAGGTGCTTGCAACCAAACTGTCTGTATTAATATCATGTTAAGCCAATCCTTTGCATCAATTGCAAGAGAGAGAAGCAAATGAAAACTCTGGAGTTCTCAAGAGCACTAGGTTTGAATAGAAACACTCTCCAAGTGGATAAGTTTCAGATAATCTTTCTGGAAGAAGACAATCAAAAACCAGGCACGACATCGTTTTGGGCACACGTGTTACTCTTCTGTTAGCTTAACACAGAAAAAATATCGGCAGCGAAATCCTATGAAATCATGTTTTTGGACACATGTATATTTTAAAAATATCAGCACAGAAAATCTTATTGAACAACATTTCATAATCACCGCAATGTCTTCTTCAATTTCAGATTTGCATGATTGACAAAAGGCTGGCCAGAAAAGGCTGTCTTTGAAATTGCAGATGGTGGCCTTTTCTCCACCAAGGAACCAGCTGTTAGAAAATGTTTTTGGAGATCCAAACGCCAAGTCCTATGATTTAACTTTGTGCCTAATCACTTTTAAATAAAATATACCTAAAGTCTACAGATTTTATTATAAAAAACCGTATAGCCGCGCGGCTATACTGTTTTGACACGAAACCATTCTTTTTTTTTGGACAAGTGGGCCGAATAGCTAGGTGGGTTACCCTTTTTTTAAAATAAATCATATAGCCGTGCGGCTATACTATGGTTTTTATTAAAAATAGTATAGCCGCGCGGCTATACTATGGTTTTTATTTAATTAAAAACAGTATAGCCGAGCGGCTATACTGTTTTTGACACGTGGGACACAAAATGGCAAGGCGGGTGCTAGGCTGGCTGGTCCACTTTTTTTTTTCTTTCAATAAATAGTATCACCACGCGGCTATACTCCGGAATTTTTTAGAAAAAAAACAAGAGTAAGCTTTCCTAGGGTCTTTTTTTATAAATTGTATAGCCGCGCAGCTATACTCTTTTTTAAAATTGTTTTTCCCCTTTTTTGTTTATCGATAAGAGTATTTTAGAACATTATTCATTATTATTAGGCCATTATCCGAGTCTCTATTGTCACCGTTTGAGTTTTTACATTTCCAGAGTTATTACCCATATAAAGAATTTTTCATTTTCACGTTTAATACTCTTATTGTACACATACGTACGTATTTTTCATGTTTAATACATTTATTTTTTTTTTACCAAAATTTCAAAAATACACACAAATTTTTACATATTATTGATTGAAAATTAATATCTATAAAGTATGAACTAATGCAACTAGAAGGGTCATTTTCTTTTAATTTTTCATTAATAAATAGTATAGCCGAGCGGCTATACAGTTTTTACACTGCAACTCACTAGCCGGATCCTTTTTTTAATAAATAGTATAGCCGCGCGGCCATACGCTTTTTAAATATAATATACTTTAAGAGTATAGCCGTACGGATACACTACGGTTTTTTTATTATAAAAAATAGTATAGCCGCGACTGTACTTTTTTTGACACGTGGGGGGCCGAATCACTAGGCGGGTGTCTGTAACCAACAAAGAAATGGTTCGATTGAAAATAGGGAATTTCAAGAAAACCCAACTCAAAACTAGTTTTCAGGCTTTACTAATATGTTAAGATTTTATAGGCACAGAATCGCAGTTTACTATCACTAGTGCCGATAATGTTAGTAACTTAACTACTTACACAATCTAGTAGATATAGAATTTTATACGAAAGGTCTCAATGTCATTAGTAGTGAAACTACTCATTATATCTTGTATTTATTTTGTAAAAATTTTAACGTGGTACTTCACATTCTTCAACATAATTAGCCTCTATGTTACCACTTTGCCTTTTTCATAGCAAAATCGTGCTCTCAGCCAAGAATGCTGAGTTTTGGATGAGGACAATAGGCGGCTGTCTATACGAAAGGGGATCATAACTCAATTATCGATTGCTTTGCTTTGGGTCCAATTAATTTCATTTTGATACTTGTCCAACTCAAACACAAGATCCGTCAAAACAGAGAATAGCCGACTTTATGGAAGTCGGATGTTATCGTGTGAACTGTGACCCCTAACTCCTAACTTCGATGATTTATGGGTGCTGACTGATAGGCCACGTGCATATAGAATTCCACATGTCTTTGAGGACCCAAAGACGCAACTTTACAAGGTTCCAGCTCCAAGCAGTAGTGGACAAGTGGCTGATTGTGATTGGTCACTTGTTTCCCCACGAACCCAGATGAACTTCTTTAACAACCTCCCTGGAGGTCCCATATCCACCATCATGATGTCATCTTAGCCTAACATTTAACAATATGCTTAGCTTAACAACATGCAGTTTTCCCTTTGCCTTGGAACATAATCTATCAGTTCACCTAAAATTCTGTGCTCGCAAGTAATGTTTTGATTGAGGGCAGGCATCGATCAAGCTATGTCAACTGTCACTCAAGTTTGTATGCAAAACTATGAAGCAACTCAAAATCAATAAATTGAAAGAAAGAAAATGAGCATTAAAAGAACCTGAATGTTACTGTTATTCTTGCAGCACAAGATCCCTTAATGACATTTCCAACTTTAACGAATACAGCTATACGATCTCTCCTCTTTTCCCAGACATTTCTTTGTTTTCATCTCTCTTTTGGCTGGGGTTCTACAATTAAAGCTATATTCATAGCTCAAAGAAAAAAAAGGGCAAAGAATACGACCTCCAATCCTCTCGAAATGGGGCAAGTGCAGAGATTCATCATTTGGCTGGCAACTCCTCACTTCACTTTACAGTAACATTAGCTGGCGTCTCCGGAATGAAGCGACAATTATTCCTGATCACAACTTCCGACCAATGTTTGCGAACCTTCGGGCCACTCCAAATATAACTGCCTTAGTCAAGAGCCCCCGGTCAAGGCTACATGCAAGGGCAATAGCCCCACCGACAACTAGAAGCTTAGGTATGCTCTTCCCTTCTGGTTTCTTTTCCGATGAATCTGATTTTTCAATCGCCATGGTGTCACTAGTGCTGTTTTCCACCGATCTCAAGTAGTCAGCACTGACTTTGGTGTTGATCTGAGCCATGTAAGCACACCGTGAAAGTGGGGCTTTAGAGGCTCTCTCCTTCTGATATGCTCGCAAGCCAGGTTCAACCTTTTTTACAGCTCCCCACATACCTTGCCGGACTCCAAGTTTTGCAATTTCCCAAGGAATACCCATATCTTCATGATGAAATAGTAAAACCTCGCATGCAGTAAGCTGGCCATCCCCTCTCTTTGATTCAACTGGTTCATACCCAACACAAAGAAATCTTAGTGATTGTTCCCAAGACCACAATTCAGATAAGAAAGCAATACAAATATTTAAATTTCAAAGCAAGAAAATTAATCTGCCAATTATATATCAAAGAAAAGAAAGATCCTTCATTTAGGAAGCTTGACAGTTTTTTTGGTGCCCCTTTATTCTTTAAGAAACCAAAACCACTTTGTATATCTTTCAAAATCACATAATTAAGATGCATGGTAAGACTTCAATACCTGCACGAATGCACCAGCTTGAATAGTACAAATCAACACGTCTAGGTTTGTCGCGCCTTGGCACAGAAGAGCAAGGTACTCCCTGAAACATGTAAAAGATGCCAACAGGTTATTTCCTGGATTACAAACTTAAAAAATCAAAAAATCACTACATGATGAACATTAGGTCTAAAGTTATACTGAAAACATGCAGAACCAGCTCAAAACAAGCACTTGCAGCAATGATTAATTGTATACTATGGACTATAAGTGGAAAGACTAGTTTCCTCTGGTAATCTCTGCTTACACACAAAATAAACTCATATTGCTTGAGAAATGAAAGAAGTGCAATATCTCACAAGACATTTTCAAATCCACAAATTCTCTACTACTAAACTATTTAGAGTCAGAAATTACTATATTGAATGGAAATCCACATATATCTTAGTACTTCAACTATTCATAACTACAATAACCTTTAACATACCAAATCCAACCAAACTAATACATTTTAGTTATCATTAATTCACACTAGACATGTAGCCTTGGCAAGAAAACAATGAAATTGGAACCTAAAGGAATCCTTTTCATATTTTTTTCTTCAAAATAGGCTACATCAGATTCTCTGTGACTAAACACAAAATTTATCTGTGAGGTTCCTCGTCATACCTTTGTTACACAGTAGTATGACCGTCCTGATTCCCAAATGCGACGTCCTATCAAGTATTCTCTGTCACTACAAAAGAATGGGAACTGTGCCCGGAACAAAGAAAGAAAAAAAAATGTAAGTCATAAGCCAACGCAACCAGGGCAATTCAATAAGCAAAGAGAAAAAAACAAGTAAACACTTTTCTCACCTTGCGCACCCAGTGCACTAACATGGTTCCAGTTGTGGGGCATTCTTCTAAAGTAGAAGCATATATAAGCATGTCATCCCACTTCGATCGAAACTCGTCATCCCAAAAGAAATCCCTCAGTTGCTCTGGTGTAGCATCCTCATATATAGTACTACTGCGGTATTGTGGAGGTCCAGTCTAGAACACACAAATGAAATCCAGTCAGTTAACCTCATCAACCAGTACATATAAGCAAAACAAGACCATGTATCTGACATCCACAGTTAGTTGTATCAGAAACTAAATGAGAAGATTGGAAGACCTCAATTATCCAATAAAGCGAAAAGGAAAGATAGCTACCTCGGGATCTCTACGCCAAGCTTGATAGCGCATGGTTGGGGTGGACCGATCCATCATATGAATCCAAGCAGGACCTCCGTCTTTCTCCTCAACCAGCTGACATATGTGCCGTAAATCCTGATTGGTCACAAGACCGGATTTTTCTCTTTCATTCTGTGAGGAACTGCCATACCATAATATTTACTCATTAAGCTGAAGCTCATAGAAGTTAAAAATGACCCAAATCCCAAATTTAACACACTAACCACTTAGGAAAGTTGTGAATTGAACACATTAAACACCAAAATATGAAAAAGTTAGGTAAACCCAAGTAGTGAAATTGTCAAAATACTTGGGAAAGTCAACAAACCTGAAATCAGGATTGGTTGTAGGTGGCATGGAAAGAGCCTCCTTTTGATTCCTATCATCGGCGGCCCAAGGAGGGTAACTGGGCAGCAGAAATCTCAATGAACTCAAGCTGGGAATAGGACCAAAACACGTGGATGATGTCCGTGACGATGAGCAACACTCCTTTTGTTTGGAGATTGGGCAATCCAACAAGTCTCTGCCAACCAAGCTCGCCCATTTAGGCTTCCACGCCCACCCAACAAAAACCCCAACAATCACAGCAATCCAAAGAGGGGTTATGAACATCATAAGCTCGCCCAAGACTTCAACAATTGTGGGTCTCTGAAAAATCTCCAGAAAAGCCGAAACCAAAGCCATTCTCAACCCGAAACCCAATATCCAAAAAAACCCAGAAATTGAAAAAAGAAAAAAGAGAAAAACCCTCGATTGAATCGGATACTGGTACGCGTTAAGCACAGCGATTACTCGAGGGTTTCAGATAGGAAGAGAGAAAGAAAGAAGATAACTGATAACAAAACCCCAAGACCCAACAAGGAGAAAGAAAGATAATAGAAATAGAAATAAAGAAAATATAATAATAAACTAAAGGGAGAGGAGGAGGAGGAGGAGGAAGCGGAGAACGATGAGATATAGATACGGTTATTGCAGGGAGTGAGCAGAGGAAGAAGAAGACAAAGGAAAGCTGCGAGCTTTGGATAAGATTTCTGATATAAGAGGCAGAGAGATGCGTTGCTGAGATTACCACAGGACCAGCCAGAGAGCGAGGCTTGTTTTCTTATGGTTTTGGTATTGTTTTTTGGCCAATGGCTTCAACCAAAATGTTTAATTTTGGGGTTTTTGAGGGTAAACAATAAAAAGAAGAGCCAAAGGGAAGGCCTCTCTGACTCTTTTTTGAGTAAGTGAGTTTGAGTGAATGTGAAAAAAATTAGGCTGTGCTTTGAGAAACCTGTGTGTTGGTGTTTATTAATGTTTGGTTTGGTAAGGCCCTTTGTGTTCAATTGGGCAATGCCCCCAATCCATCTTTATATACCTTGGTTTGGCTCTTTCTATGGTTGCCGCGTTTTCTCGTTTATCACGTTCTCTGACTTGGATTTTTCTATTCTCCATTTTTCTTTATTACTCATGTTGGCTAAACAGAAACCATATGTAATTTGTTTGTCTTTATTTTTCCCCTTTTTCTTTTGTCCAATTTTATTTATTTTTAAAATTACTTGTGAATGTGCGGCTAACAATGCATCAACACTCACAATTTACGTACCCACGTGTGTGGCTGGCTAAGTGTATCAAAATTCTTAGATTTTGAGATTGAGAATCTAGGATCATGACAATACTACTATTTAGGCTCTTATCTATTGTTATTGTCCGGTTCAATATTAGATAATAGATTCTATCTTTGATTCTATTCGGTACTAATCATCGGCAATTATTCTAGTTGTAAATTATCATCCTAAACTTAAAATGCATCACCACCTCACATTAGATACGGTTGGATTTATACTCATAACCACTCTATCTACTAATCAAATGGTAAATGTAGGTTAGAGTTGGTCTCTGATTAGGTTTAACAGAACAAATACATAAGCACATAATCCAAACAAAAACAATGTCCTCTCACTTGTTAGAAGAACTTAAGAGTAGCAAGTAAGCTCATTGAAACAAACAATGCTACCCACAAAGGGACAAGGAACAGTTTCTTTTTCTTTGATTTTTTGGGTTAGGAGCACTATTTTGTGTGGTAGATAGAATGAGGAACACTAATCAATATTTTAGGTTAGAAGACTAATGATTTGCGGTAGATAGAATAAGCCTAGTTTATTATTCTTCGTTCTAATTCTAAAAGCAGAAAATAAACATCTAAAAGAGAAGCTGGTGTAGCAGCCACCATATTGATGGATGGCTTAGACACCGTTGGATATGAAATAAAGCAGCATTCAAGCATTTGAATTTTGACTGATGCATTCTCTGGATTGATCAAACGGACGCGTCTAAACCATGCTGCAACTTTCTGACTAGCAATTGAAAATTGACCTCAATACTTAATTAAGATGGTGGAGTATTGCAATTACCCCAATGGACATACACACCCTTTGGCTATAGTCTTAGTGGAATGAGGGTAAGATAGTCAATTCATATACCATATTGTTTGGTCAAATTGAATGGAAGATTTCAACAATTTGGCCTAAGCCTAATATAATTCAATTAAATCACAACTGGATTGTTGCCATAATAAGAAACATAATAATGAGAAATTCTAGGCTATGACTGTCACACACACGTCAATATAGTGTAATTAATTTACTCATATTATAACATATATCTATGAGATATGATTCACGTTATTCTTCTATATTATAACACCTGACTTAATAATACTTCGTAACCGTACGACAACCATTATTTAAAAACTCTACATAATAATATGCATGGTCTTCCCTCAAATTTTGTTCTCATTTGCCAAACCTTTGACCATTTTGCAATACGGGTCATGTGTAGTGATTTTTTTGTTACGTAGAATTCAAAAACACATAATCAACCTTAATATAGTCAAATTACACCACATAATTCAACCTTAACTTAGTCAAATTACAAAGCACAGGGTTACAATGAGCATGTGAACATAACAGGGTTTTGTAGGTATAGGTCAATAGAGCAAAGTTGCTTGCAATATTGTCCAAAGATATTGGCTATAAGAACACAATAATACAATATCATGCTCAAATGAAACCGACCACAGTCGATCACGTATAGCATGTTTTCGTCATGTAACTTATTTTATTTGGTGAGTAGTTTTTTTTAGTGGGACACGTCAACGTGTGTAGTGGATCGCCTTTTTGACCTCCGACTTATATATTTTTAGATCCTTGAGCTCCATGATGGTTATGTTTGAAGAATAGACTAGTCTTTTTAGTCAATTACAATTATTCTCATATGACTCTAGTACAAACCTAGATATAACTCGAAGAATGCAAAGAACTAAATTAAGGGTTTGTTTGAGACTTTTCTTGAAGGGTTAAAATCGTTTTCTTACAATCAAAGAAGTTTTTGATCTTTTTGGCAGAAAGACTTAAAGTGCTTCTTGAGTTATAAAGCGTTTTTTATAAGAGAAAGCACACTTGAATTTTTAATTAAAGTTTCGACATGTTTCTAATAAAAAACGCTCATAAAGTGCTTCCTAGCTACAAAAACAGTCTCAAACGAACTCGAAAGGGGTTGTTTGATATTGAATTTGAATCCGACTTTTTAAACTCAAGAATAGAATTTGAGTTCAAAACTCAAAAGATATGTTTGGTATACCTAGTATTGCAAACCTAAACTCAAAAACACCCAAGTACTTAAAAACAGAAAGAAAGAAAAAAAACTGATTTTTTTTCTTTTCAAAATTATTTTCGAGTTGCATACTAAATAAGTTTTTGAATTTTAAAACATAAATTTTAAAATTCCTTATTTTTAAAGTTTTTGAGTTCCCTACTTGAATAGAATACCAAACACCTTCTTCAATTGTTTGAGAAGAACATGTATACCTTTCCATTAACTCACTCAACATGCTCAAAGTGTCTATTTTTGGACCCCATTACTTAAAAACTTGGGTTTTAAAACCCCTAACTTATGATGTGAATCCAAAGTTAGACCACTTTATGCTTGCGGAGGAGGATCATTTGGTGTACTTGACTAAATTACCAAGCTAACGGTGATATGATGGTCCATCAGAATCATTTTACACCATATAGGATTTGGGGAAATCCCATCGGATGTGATAGTTCATCTGCCGCAAATGTATTTCGGCTGCCACATGCACCGACCCCATACTTCAAACCACACACTTCCTTCCCCGTCCAATTTAACCTCAGTAATAATTACTTCATTTAAATAGATTTGAAGAGGAATTTTCTCCTTTCAAACATTTTTTTGTGCCGTGGAAATTTAAATTATTGAGGCATTGAGTACATGTTTGTTTGAATATGTTGTTTGAAATTGATATTCCAACAACCTAACCTGATGTTAGATAAGATGGGATTACTCGATGTTTGAAACTTTAAATAATTATACACACAAGGAATGCAACATCAAGTGCTCCACAGTTTACACGCACAGCCCAAAAGAAAAGGGTGATTTACACGTGTAGGTTTGAATTTCATGCTTGAGCACCAATGTGATTTGACTGCCCTTTATAGTAGAGGCACAAAGTCCACGAGCCTGTTATTGCCACAATTGATGAAGCCTGGGAGAAAATTTTGATTTCTACTTAGGATGTTATGTTGATGATATCTCAAACCAATCGCACACTGTCAATTGAAAAACACCAAAAGCATACTAATGTGTAATTGGCTTGAGATACTGTCAACTGACATCCCGAATGGAGTGAACTTCTTGTTGGGCTCGGACTAGTTGCTTGCTTTACATAAAAAGAGTATTTTGTAAGACTTTTTGGGGCCAAATGCGGATGCACAGCCAACACACCCTATGGCGAGGCCTGTTTAAGGAGTAATTAATAGTATCAAACTTGGATTCTTCATCTATCCCGACTTGAGATTATATGTGCAATGATTAAATTAATGATATACCAACTGTCCCGGCGCATAAATAATTAGCAAAAATGGGGCAGATGGTGTGTTTAACCAATTTTCTGTTAATGCATACACATTTACATTACAATCAAAGTGAGGACAAGTTTTAGAAACTAGTGTGCCAAATGGCTTCATCACCCTCCCCACATCGCTGGTGCACCTCCTCCATTCTCTCCACTGATTTGCATATGCCACTGCAGCTCCAGTCAAATGATGCAGCACAAGGGTTTCCTGCTTGAGCTTTCCACTCACATTCTAGAGATAAGAGAGTAGAGAGAGTTTACAGTAACATACAGCAGAGAGTTTAATAATCTCTAAAATCAACTAATTATAATGTGATCTTTAGTTAGAAGAACGAACTGAAGATTACATTTTTACGCTTGCAAAATGCCTCACTTTTCGTAAGAAGTTTTTCAGATGAGTTTTAATAGCTAAGGAGATATTGCTTCTCAATAAAACTACTAACTGATTCTAAAGAAATTAACAATTTAATTCACTGAAAATCATATTTCCCAGCACTTACCAGGAGGAGTCCCACAGCAAAGGCTTCTTTCATCAATGTGCTCAACATCAAGACCAATAAACCAAGAACCCAAAGAGACATCTTCATTTGCATATCTGTGAAGTATGTGCCTAGAGACGGAAAAAAAACAATTAATTACATTTTCAAGATATATAACAAGAAAAAAATGCAGAAACTGTCTTGTGCATATGAAAGAGGACTTACCTATGTACTGAAATGTAAGTTGCCAAATCTTTGGAAATTGCGTATATTTGACCCGTTGCATGACGAAAATACTTATTTCCCTCCTCTCCAAATTTCCAATATTCCGGTTCATGGTACCTGACCCCCCTATCAGAAAAGGTACAGATGAAGAATGATGAACATAAATAAAACAAGAGAGATGCAAAATATTTGGCTGCTTACTTATTTGCCAGGACAGGTCCAGACTTCATGCAACCAATATATGTACGAGGTTTTGATCTATGACGGGCCAAAGTGGAACCAACCATTCCTGTCAAATGATGAGACTTGAAGTTAATTTAGTGCCCCCGAATTTGCATCAATTTTTTGCCCCCGAATTTCCATAGCAGAAACAGCTGCATTAGAAAACATATACACTAACCAAGATTTATGTGCACATCATCATCAACTTTAATATAGAAGTCAGCATCCCACTTAGTGACAGCTGCCGCAAAATAGATTTGGGTTTTTGATGACAATTCGTGATATCCTTCTATATGGTTCTGCAGACATACAATGGTAACACTGCATAAGGTCCACAGAAGTGATTTCAATTTTGAACCAAAGGACAACTTAAACTTAAAACAACTATAAAAAGCCCACCAAAGGGTTTAAGAATTTTGTTCCTTTGATTGGTTCCCAAGACAATATATATGCA